GCTCTTTCCGAGCAAGTTCGTTCTTTGCTGTCAAGGCAAAGCCAGTTTTCACCCCTCTAAAGGGTTGAAAGTACTGCTTCAACACTGCTAATCGCAGAGATGAAAATCATGAGGCGGGAATTAATCTACATTGTGCGACGCTTTCGGCCTCCATCACTGTATGCAGCTCTGGTTTAAATTCCATCGCAGTTTTCGACGCTACGCTTCCTGAAGTTTTTTTTTTTTTTTTTTTTTTTTGCATCAGATTTTAATTGCGTATGCAGCTATCTAGCTATGACACAATATCAAAGAAAAGTACAGAATAGATGATTCAACGTAAGAGAAGAGCACTCATGCCTCGGATTTCATTTGCAAGTACCACTGCGAAGTTATGGTGGCTTTTTCTTCACCCCAAGTCAACCCTCATCCGTGAATACCCACCCAGGGGAACGTCTCAAAAACCCTGAGTTATCCAGACATGCCTCCGTCATCCATCAACTTTTCTCCGCGCGAAATGTAATCTGAGATGTCTCCTTCCCAAGTGGAGTAGGTGCCCAGGCTACTCAAACCATACCAGAGAACATCACCAGGAGGCGGACCACAACACCTTCCATCGTTTGCTTGTTTTTATAGTGTCAGCTGCACTCTCGCAAGCGAAGTCTTGGCGCGCACAAAGCTCAATTCGTAAAACTCTTGCCAAAATTCAAAATTCCACGCCCGTCGAAAACGTATCCCTCTTCTGCATCATCTTGTGAACTTGTCCTAATCCCTCTCACGTCCTACCCAAAGAGCTATCTCCTAGATTTGTGCTCCACGCTTTGCTTCCTCCGTCGGGTGTAAATATCGGCGTGGGCGTGTATTTGGTGACCGGCTGAGGCCAGAGAAAGTCGACGAGAGGTGTGGTCATTGAAACGAGGATGTACTAGGTCGTACTTGTAGACTTGATGAAGCTTAGTTGAGAATCGGACTCTTTGGGAGTGAAAGATTGACATGGTGGAGTAATTTGAATTTTTGCCTCGTGGGCCAACTTCTTTGATATTGCGAAATTTGACTGAACTTGGCTCTGGAAGAATATTTCACTCCCAGGTTCGTAGAGGACACCGCGTACAGGTGTTCAGTCTTGCCCTCCGCTTCCTGAAGTTGGCACAGTAAACTTTCGTTCAAATGATACTGCGGGCTCTATGGTCTCTCCTGTAACGATCTCTCCTTAGAACTGTTTGCCTCTATGTCCTGATTGGAGGGTTAGGTCGCCTCGGGACATTTTTTTTACTGATCCGACAGCCTCAAAATCTGTCATCTCCATGTCTGGAATGTTCGTTGACTTCCCTTAGAAGAAGGCCTCACTCGTAAATAAGCTTGAGACTTTTAGCGCGATACCTATTGGCTTTGGACACAATAGTGTCCGTTCAAAGCCGACTGACGTCGTCGACTCTGGGCGCTTGTTCCTCACCGGAGGCATTTTTGACTACCTTGCGATGGTTGAAAATTTAAGTATTCGAGCACAAAAATCATGATGGGAATTGGAAAAGTGTGTAGAGGAATTCCTTGGATTCAAGATTTGGTTATTTTTTTGCATCAGAATTTAATTGCATGTGCGGCTGTCTAGCTATAACACATGACCGGTGCTATGTATACATGAAGGTGACTCTTTTGACGTTAGAGACACTCATACTCTGGATTTCATTTGCAAATACCACTATGAGGTATGCTTGCTTACACAAACAGTCAACCCTCCTCCGTTAGTACCCACCAAAGGGAATTTCGAAACCTTTGGTTATCCAAGCATGCCTTCGTCATCCATGTACACTAGCACCGCGAGAAATGTGATTGTATTTTGCCGGATTCGAACCAGCGATCGACTGTCTCAAGTGGGATATGTGTCCAAGCTATCCAGACTCTACTTGGCAGACCGGCCATGACGATGTACCACCGCACCATCCAACCATGGCGATGTTTATAGTGTCGCCTGCACTCTTGCAACCGAAACCTTGGCACGCACAAAGCTCAATTTGTAAAAACTCCTCGCCAAAATTCGGAATTTAACGCCCTTCGAGATTGTATCCATCCTTCGCATCATCTTGTGGACTAGTCCTGAATCCTCTCACGCCAATCCCAAACAACAGTCTCCCAGATTTATGCGCCACGCTTTGTGTCCTCCGTCGGGTATAAATATCGACGTGGGCGCGTATCTGGCGACCAGCTAAGTCCAGAGAAAATCGACGAGAGGTGTGATCGTTGGAATGAGGATGTACTAATTCGTACTTGTGGACTTGATGTGGCTTAGGTAGGAATTTATCTCTTTGGGAGTGAAAGATTGATGTGGTGGAGTAGTTTGAATCATTGCCTCGTGCGCCAACTTGTTCGGTATTGCGAAATTTGACTGATCTTGGCTCTGGGAGGATATTTCACTCTCAGGTTCGTAGAGGACACCGCGTACAGGTGTTCAGTCTTGCCCTCCTCTGGAATAGCTCATTAGCGAGGCGTTTGGAGTAGAGGAAGAGAGAAGATAACGATAAATTTATTTCGAGATACCAGTTAATTGTCTTTATTCACCGACTTCGTGACGGCACCCAATTTATATTACTTCGTGTTTCACCAACAGACTCAAAGGATAATGATAAGTACTGCACAATTGAGAAGTCGTCAAATGGAGATATGCTTGTGTTTGCTTTCGACTCCGATTCGGAAGTGATTCTTCAAAGCTATTCCAGATATGCAGAGCATAGTGTTGTGATCTAGGAATAGCACAGAATTGCTCATGCATACCTGCATAAACGTTATGCTATGGCGCTTAATAAGGATTTTATTGTAGACTACTGGACAAACAGGAATAGCCGCGCTATGATTGGTGGGATTAGTATGTTGCCAACCTGCAAGGGTCATGGGAGAGTAATTTAGGTGTGGTCCGAAGTATATTGAGTTGTGAGCACACAACCATCTTCCGTCTGTACATCTTTCTATCTTCTAGCACATAATAAAGTGCGAAGCATCTTTACTAGTATCTATAATAAACTATCTACAAGTGCAGTATTTATAGACTAGACTCCATTTACATACGAGTAGCAGAGTCAGTATTGAACGCCTAGGTGACCTCATTTCATAAGACATACCGAGCGATTACAGCGGCACCACTGGAAGGTGAAAATTCGACTTTGCCGGCAACACCGCCATATTTCATCGCTATTTAGATGAAAAAATAGTAGATTATCATATAAAAAAGAGACAGAGCTACTAGTAAAAAGCACTGGGTGCTAAGAGACAAAGATCTAAAGCCATAAAAATTACTGGGCGGTATAACATTATACCAAATATGTACATTACTCCCGTGTAAGAACATGACGGTTGAGGACTTCTAGAACCTACAATAACTGACTAAATATGTTTACTTGTTTCAATGTTGTTTATTGTGAATTTTATTCTCCTAGACTAGAAGTGACTCGGGCAGTTTGAGAAGAATAAATTTTGAAGTTGGCATCTCGGCAGCTTTTTATTATCAACTAGAGTTATATTGAAACAATTATAAAATTACAATATCGTCCTGAATAATGACTGGGCACAACACTGTCATGCATATCTCGTACTTTGGTTTCCGACTCAAAATTTTGTAACATTATTCTTCCGCTCTCAGCGGTCCTTGAATGAAGATGACCATCTGGTTGTTCATTGCTTTATTGATACCTCGACCCCTTCAAGCTCTTGCCGATAGGGCTAAAGAAAGCCAGGTTAACCAGGTGGTATCGCTGCAACTGTCACCCGACGTCGAAGGTTCCCAATAAGTTCAAAAAACAGTCTAAAGGCAGGAAATGGTACGAGGGCAGTTACCGAATAAACTTCAGCTCCGTAGGGGTCGAGGCCCTGTAGGATTTAGGAGCTTGCTCTATCAGGCATGCAGCCTTTGCTGCACTAGTCAGCTCTAGTCTTAGTGGCAAATTTGTCCTGGTCTCACTGAATATATCCTTTATCTCTAGGCAGATTGTTTTGCGTTGGTGCGACGTAGTTTCGATATTATCGTAAGCTTCTCTCAGTCTTGAGGTACTTAAAAAATGTTAGCCCCTTCTACTTACATGTCATGAATGCCTGGGTCTCTTTCACGGTTCTCTTCCAACAGTATAGCGCCATTCAAGTCTTCATGATATCATTCACATGGAGCATTTGGCCCTTCATAATTTCTCCTCTCGATCCAACCAAAAATTGGCCTTTCCAGGATGCTGGCCAGCTGTGTATTGCAGATTTCTTTTGTAATTACAGGAACAATCCTCAGATTACCGGGACTTGATTTATCGTTTGCGCCTGAGGTCTTGTCGGGGGACATATTTAAATGCCGAAAAAGTCTTGACAGAGATCATGTACTGTATTAGGTGAGAGAATATAGACGTCTAACAGAGAATAGAAGCCTTCATGATTAATGTGACTCACTGAGCTTTGTACACTCAATGGTGAGAAAATAGGGTCCAAAGATATACCACTAACAAGTATTGAGCCATCGTCCCCATGTGCACGGCTTAGATCAGCAGCCAAAACTGGATATAATGCTCCCTCTCATATCTTAAGGTCAGTGAAGATAGACCAGTGTGTGCGGCAGCCATGGTTGCCCTGTTATTCTTATCGTACCCAATGTGATGTCCTCTATAAACCTTGGCATGAGCTAGTTAATTTGATTGGAGGGACTAAATGCAGCTGACAGTTTTAGGGGATGAAGGGTTTATATGCTGGACCACTATGCCATTCAGCCCGGCGCCAAAGGTGGGTGATGCCAAGCCATTTCATGGTTCATTCACGTCGAATCGATAAGGCATTCGAACTCCGCGCAGCACGGTATGATCATGAATGTCTTATCGTCCCGCATCGCGAACCTTAACAATGGATTGCTTAATCTAGATGGAGGGCTCGAACCATCATCATCTGCAAATCGTTTGATTTAGCTTCCCACAGTTGGATATTCTCATGTGCAGGACACGTATCAAAAATCAGCAAGCTTAGCTCATGGTTGTGTGAACTCCAACCAGCACTAATTTCTAACCATGGCATCCTCAAACCAGCTTGATGGCGATATTCAGAATCATCTAGTTTCATTCGCACCTACTACGTCCTTTCCTGCAGTCGGAAGCAAAACTGCAGAGACAAAGTACAACGCAACTCTGCTTGCTCCTAGCTCCGCTTCTTCAGTGAATTCAAACTTACGAAATTTCCTACCTCGACCGCGATTTTTCGAATCTCCTTCAGCAAATATACCCAAAACCCCGGGAGGTGCACCCGCATTCTCGGCCTCCAGATGGGACCCTGTATCTTTTCTGAATGCTCGAAGCTTCTGTCCGAAACCAAATGATCTGAGTACTAACTGCGAGCAAAATAGTAAAAGCTCGGAAAGTAGTCGTGCGATCCTCCCTCGAATGTCTTTTCAGTTTGAAAGTGCTGGCCAGCTATACCCCTCTGCTTCGTCAGACACAGATAATCAGCTACAAGATGAAAAAAGACAATACGAAACCAACGGGAAAGTAGGAAACATGCTGGATCATATATACAACGTCACGACTAGAGACCTAGCTCCTCAAAAGCGCAGGAAGATACACGATGATCGACTCCAAAATCAAGCTGAGGTTCACTTTGTCGCCGCTAGAGAATTGAAGCTATCGCCAAATTCCTCAGGAGAACAGAGACGAGAAGGTTCTCAAAACATTACCACAAAAGATCCACAACCAACACACATCTCGTTGATCGATGATGACGATAACATTCAAGTGAGCGTAAATCATGAAATGCGGGAAGTTTGCTATGGTCGTATTGAAGGGGCGGAGATTAAAGCTTTCAAGGTACCTACGCCAAGACCCGGGGCAATATCAATCTCAACTGATTTCTGGCCTCAAGTCCGCATTGTTTTGCGCCGACGCCAGGGTGAAAAGGGAAACATAATACATGCGGTAGATGCAACTCGCACGATTATTGGGACTATCGATGTCGATACTGCTGTTGGATTAACACCACTGCTCGATTCTAGTTACAGTATTCGGACCACATCAAGAATTTTGACTAGGACAAGAAAGGAAGGTGATCTACCACCTGGAAGTGATATAAATGCATGCTATGCACTCGATCTAAATCTCTATGGCCCAAAAAAACTTGCCCTCAATATTGGGAAACATCTATCTCAAAAGAATCTTTGGCTCAGAACTCCTTTATTCGTCGAAGCAGGAGTTGAGCTATACAATCCTCACGCTGTCCAACCTCCTCCGCCTCCAGCTCGGACTTTAAGCTCTTATATAGGTCATCGCATGCAAGCACCGTCTAGAACGACTGAGGAAATACGTAACGATGTTATTGGTATGTTTGATACATTACAGCGCTCGAAACATCTTCCTGAGATGGAACCTGGCCCACACATCAAAACCAAACTACTCAAACATCAGATGCAAGGTTTGCATTTTATGTTCAATAAAGAGAAGCTTGACACTGAAGCAATCGGGAAGAAAGATAATGTGTCTTTGTGGAAGAAAGTCTATACACCTGATCAGCAAAAAATGTACATAAATATAATTACTGGGCAGGAAGAAACAGAAGTTCCTAAGCAAGTTCTTGGTGGGATTCTAGCAGACATGATGGGTCTCGGAAAGACACTACTTTCTCTCTCCCTGGTTGTTGAGACACTAGATACTGATGCACAAGAGTGGGCTAAGCTTAAACCACCTTTAAAGAATGAAAGGCAAAGCCCAAATCAAGGGCGAAAAACCAAATCGTCGGCTCCTAACCTTGAACAAGCGCTTCTCGTCTTAAATGCTAAGACGACTCTTCTTGTATCACCCCTCAGTACGATTTCTAATTGGGAAGATCAAATCAAACAACATGTTAGGAAAGGCGCTTTGTCATACTACATATACCATGGGACAAACCGTATCAAGGATGTAGAGAAGTTGGCCACATATGATTTAGTCATAACCACGTACGGTTCTGTTGCCAGTGAATTCAACAATCGTATTAAGAAAAAGAACGGGTCATATCCACTCGAACAAATCAACTGGTTTCGTGTTATGCTTGACGAAGCTCACATGATTCGAGAACAGTCGACGCAGCAGTTTAAAGCTATCTGTAGGTTAGCAGCAAACCGTAGGTGGGCTATCACTGGCACTCCTGTGCAAAACCGCCTAGAGGATCTAGGTGCCTTGATGTCATTTCTTCGTATTAAACCATTTGATGAGAAAGGAGGCTTCGCGCAGCACATCATGGCTCCATTTAAGATGTGTGACCCTGAAATACTGCCAAAGCTAAGATTACTCGTTGATAGTATTACTCTGCGCCGTCTTAAAGATAGGATTGACCTGCCGCCTCGTCATGATCATCTTGTCAAACTTGAATTCTCCGAGGAAGAGAGACCTGTCTACGATATTTTTGCAAAGAATGCGAAGGATCGAATCAAGGCGATGGTCGGTCAGCACGAGAGTGCTTTAAGTGGTAAATCCTATGTTCATATTTTACAATCCATCCTTCGCCTTCGGCTTATCTGTGCTCACGGTAAAGATCTTTTAAGCGATGATGATCTGAAAGTAATGAATGGCATCAGCAAAGACTCAGCGATTGATCTTGACAGTGATGGAGATGGTAACGATGAGTCTTCAGGCTTGACTCAGAAGGAAGTCTACGACATGTTTAATTTGATGAAGCAGACAAATGCAGATGTTTGTCTTATTTGCGCAGGAAAAATTGGACCCAGTGATACTTTGGATTTAGATGGTGATGTAAAACATGGAGAAGTTATTGGTTTTATGACCCCATGTTATCATATTATTTGCACAAATTGCATAAAAAAATATAAGTCTGACATCGAAGAATACTCCCAAGGTCAACCAAGAATCAACTGCCCCATTTGCCAACAGAACATCAAGGTTTCGTATTCTCCACTGAGAAAAGAGGGCTCTAACGAAAATGAAGAATCCACACTAAAACAGAAGAACTTACCTAGGCAAGGCAAATGTATCTCTGGATATCGTGGTCCCCACACTAAAACCAAAGCCCTGCTTGAGGACTTAAACTTGTCTCGACAGGAGTCTGAACTAATACCATCGGAGCCTCCTATAAAGAGTGTTGTGTTCTCGGGGTGGACAGCACATTTAGACCTTATTCAAATTGCTCTCGAAGAGAATAGATTTAAGTTCGTGAGGCTTGATGGAAAGATGTCACGTACTGCTCGAAGTGCAGCTATGGACACTTTTCGGGAGGATCCTTCAGTTCTCATTATACTCGTTTCGATTACAGCTGGCGGCCTCGGCCTTAACTTGACCACGGCAAATAAAGTGTATATAATGGAGCCGCAGTATAATCCAGCTGCCGAATCGCAAGCAATCGATCGTGTTCATAGACTAGGACAAAAGAGGGAGGTTGAAGCGAAAAGATATATCATGAAAGATAGCTTCGAAGAAAAGATGCTGATTTTACAGGATAAGAAGAAAAAACTAGCAAGCTTGAGTATGGATGGTGAAAAGGGTCGGCTTGACAAAGCTGAGGCGGCAAGGAAGAGACTTGAAGATTTAAGGAGTTTATTTAAATAAATGGATTTATGACCGGGGTTAGAAATATTTTTCGACACTTATCTGGATAGCATGATTCTGCAAAGGCCCCGAGGTGCCTTACTAGCCATTAATTTTCCATATCATCGTATAACTTTTTGATCTACCCTCTTGCTACTAAATAGAGGTTACTTGAATGTACAGCAAAGTTGGGATTGGTTTTTTATTGCGCTACTAGGTTCTTTGGCTATCTAGCACATCCACCTGTTCTCTGTTCCAGGTTACCACTCATACAGTGATCCTATCCTCTTTTGTTACAAAAAAAACATTTCATGCTATACCAATGATGCGCAGCCGTTTAGCTCAATGTCCACCTGTAGATTTTAGCCATCTATTCCGCGAAATATTTAACCAAAGAATAATAATAAATGTATCAATGAAAACTGCGTGCGTAAGGAAATTTATCAAAACCTTTATCCATACCAGATGCGCATGTATATCCATAATTCCTTTCTTTGTACCAGAGGAGGCCAAATTTACCCAGTCCACCTCCGCTGTACCTGGAGATGAATATGCTCTAGAAACTCATTGAAAGATTTCTCATTCATGAAGCCGGCAAAGACGAATTCTTCACTTTCCAGTGGTGCCGGTGTAATGGCTCAGTATGTCCTGCATATCTGGGATAGCCAAGAAGAATCGCATCCGAATCGAAGTCGAAACTAAACACATCCATATTTCCATTTGACGACTTCTCAATCATGCAGCACTCACCCTTATCCTCTGAGTCCTCAGCCTCTTTCTCACTACACATCATCTCGCCTCAACGACCTATAAGGATGTTACCCCAATTGCAAACAGGAGCTTGCCTCATTTGTTACCGACCATCACTCACTAAAAATTTACGGCGCCACGTATATACGTAAAGAGGCAATCAAGTCAAAATATAAGGAGGCTGGGTTCTGGCTTGTGGGGGACTGTTGCTCTAAAGGGACAAATGATTTGAGGGAGGATAGGAGGTTGAAATATGGAGCGAGAGGGTGAGCGGGTCTCTACAAATTATACTTGGACTGATATTCTCGAGGGGGTTTCAACTTTGGAAAGTTAATGGGCGCCAAGACCGAGATTTCGGCTAATTAGCCAGGAGGACTTCTTTTGTCGATGAGTCAACGGCACTCTCCGGCGCTCTGAACGGCACAAAAGAAGTTGGGCTAAGCTACTATACAGCAATCACGCTCTGTCCAGACCTTTTGACCTTTCAGCACGACCTTCGGGAAGGAGTTGGAAGGAGGCTAGAAAGGTAGAGGGTGAGTTCCTCGAGGTACACACAAGTTTGTAGCGCCCAACTGGCCAGCTTCTTCGAACGCTTCAGAAGGGGCACTATGTTTTCGGATCTAGTCCTAATGTCGGTGTTAGGAGAGCTCCGCACCCAGTGGTTTTTGCGACTTTTCCCGGCTGCCATACACCCGCAAATGGCCATCGTTTCGTTGGCTGGAGAGGGGAGGTAATGAAGGGCAAAGGGCTCCTTTAAGTGTATGATCTAATGAGGATCTGTGAGGGGTGGTACTGTTTGAGGGGAGCTGTATGGGAGGCATATGAGGGGATATACTACTGGTATAGGTATCCTTGGCCTGTAGGCAGAGAAGACTTGCATGTCCTACATATTCATAGACTCATAAAGGACAATAAAATGAATTAAAAAAATACAGGACGCTAGCCTGACATGAAACACACCCAGAGTTTGAGAGAGACTGAGAAAATCTGCACAAAATCCTCGCTTCATTTGGTAAATTATATTTATTTAATTCAGAACTTCTTTTTCTGAAGATACTGAGGGCCAAGTCTCTTTGATAGGACACACCTTATTTCAATGGGATCTCACCTTAATAGCATGGCTCATAGATAAATGTAATTTATTTTATGACACTGCTCGCGAACGGCAACTGTTATGAATTCTGGGCCCGCTAAGTCCATACCTGTAAAATATGTTGCTATCACGTATCATCTTCAAGCGCATCATAGAGCTACTCCTGTAATATCATTATCCCAGAGATCCAAAATAGATTATACCTATTTTGTTCGGTTGTATGAATCACAACCTCATTTCGCAACGGTGACTATTCACTGTGTGAGACTGCAGTGCCTACCTTGTCCTCTATCCACCATTTGGATATCATACGGATGTGGGTAAACCAGGCTATCAATCCGCACTTTCCAAATAATTAACTCAAATCAGTCGAATCTATCACCCTCCTGTTGCGATGTGAGGCGTCCAGCAGGGCTCCACAATCAGAGGTATCACCACATGGGGCGGATACCAGCTCGCCATCTAACTACACGGCAGCATATTATGTAATCAGCCCTCGAAGGGTACAATCGTCTTATAAATTCAAATTTAGGAGATGGAATAGATACCGGTAAATAACTGCACATTCACTGATAGTTGTATACAGAGATAGGTTGTAATGACGTAGTAGACTTATCTGCCCATATCCAAGTCTAGAAAATCACTGCTTTTATATGTGTATATACTTAATTCCACGTATTTTCATATCCACACTCGCTGAGTTCCATTTAACTTCGAGTCATCCGATTCTATCCCATCCTGTAATATTATATCTGCCTCTAGTCTGTTCCATTTGAACCGTCTGATTCTACGCCTCTGCGATTCACACTAACTAGATGCTGGGGTAGTTATGCCATCAATCACAACAAATCGATACGTGTGCCAAGGTTCCAGAATCTGCTAGGTTATTGTGGTCTTGTCACTGTAGTAGAGAATCAATGACCTTTACGTTGATTCCAGCTCCTCTCGTCTATTAACTGGGTATAGTGATTATTTAAGCACACACGGTTCAGCCTCGTTCGTGCGATCAGCAAAGTCAAATTACAAATAGTCAGCCAGGTAAAACATGACGCCAGGTTTGATAGCCTTGGTGTGGAGACCCATGAGATGCTAACAAATTTTTAGAGGTTGCGCTCCTTAGAAGTCCGAAAGCAACTGAATACCAAAATTTATGCTGTTGATGATGTAGGAGATTATTGTGGGTAGTTCATCGACAAGCGCGGCTTGGCGTCGCGTCACGTCGTGTATCGACTAGCGTTAGACTAAAGCCCACACTGCATTAAAGAAAGCGTAACTAGAGGGCCAGAACAACACAAGCAATTCACTCTCAACAAATCATGTTCGCCGTTCCCGGGTGGTCAGTATCGGCCAGCGCGCTCAAAGCTCAGACTGTCGAGGGGCAGCCACCGGTCTCCCAAAAGCGGGCGGATTCCAGTCGCGACGAAGACAGCTCGAGATCAACGAAGAAGCGCAAACGGAGCAAGAGCAAGGCTAAGGAGGTAACGGCGGCAAATGTCGTGGATTTGTGGGAAGAGTACATGGAGGGTAAGCCTCGTGTGGATAAAAAGTCAAAGGGAAAACGAGCGACGATGGAGAATGAAATTGACTCCGCAAAACAGAGCCTTTCAGAGGAAAAGGCCGTGAGCGATGGACAGTTACCCGTTAATGAGAGCGCGGCGGCTCAATCAAGAATTAGTCAGGGTGGTACCAAAAAAGTCAAGAAGAAGTCTGGCAAGGCGAATAAAAAGCACGCGAATCTTATGCCGGTATCGAATGAAGCAGCCTCTATAAACTCGACTGCACAAGCAGCGAGCCAGACATTACAAAAGCATGCATCTTCGGCAAAAACAACGACGACTCAGACGACTCTGACGCCCCTGCAAACCGCCATGCGACAAAAGCTAGTGTCAGCTCGCTTCCGCCACCTCAATCAAACGCTTTACACAACGCCATCAGCCCAGTCTCTCCAACTTTTTCGAGATAATCCCGAGATGTTTTCAGAGTACCACGAAGGTTTTCGACGTCAGGTCGACGTCTGGCCTGAGAACCCCGTGAATAGCTATCTAGCCGAAATCCAAAGTCGTGGTGCCCTCACGACGGCCCGGCGAGACGCCTCGGGTGATCGAGCCTCTACCATGCCGCTGCCGCGCACTGGCGGTATCTGCACACTTGCTGATCTCGGCTGTGGTGACGCTGCCCTCGCTACCGCTCTACAGTCTTGTCGCGCGCAGCTTCGCCTCCATATCCATAGCTTCGACCTTCACGCGCCCTCGGCCCTCGTAACTCCGGCCGATATGGCGCAGCTTCCACTCAAGGATGGCAGTGTAGATGTAGCAATTTTCTGCCTAGCCCTTATGGGCACTAATTGGCCCGAATTTATCGACGAGGCCTTCCGTATCCTGCGCTGGAAGGGCGAACTCTGGGTCGCTGAGATAAAGTCGCGCTTTGGGCGCGGTGCTACCGGTGCAGGCCGTATCGTGGAGCACAGTGTCGGCAATCGTAAACGTGCCGTCGTACCGCATGATGCCTCGGGGCCCTTTGAAGACACTGGCGTCCAAGACCAGTCCGCTGAGACTGATGTAAGTGCCTTTGTCGAGGTCCTGCGTCGACGAGGCTTCATATTGCAGGGCGAAAGCCATGAGGCCATCAACCTGCAGAGCAAGATGTTTGTACGCCTGAATTTCATCAAAGCAGCGACACCCACTGTTGGGAAAGGTGTACCACCTGCCTCGGCTCAAACGGGCTCCGAACGCTGGCAAAAGAAGAAGGTCAAGGGTAAATTCCTTGACGGACCTGAATCCGAGGCTGCCGATGAAGCTCGAGTCCTGAAGCCATGCGTCTACAAGCTGCGATGAGACATCGGTCGCGCCTCACAATAGAAATGACGCAAGAGACTGGAAAAACGTATTAATCAATCATCTTAATAAACTCTTGCCAATACCACTTCTCCCCCACTGCCTTTTCTCGCCCTTCTAGACCATCAAAAGTCTTCGTTCCCTCGTAAGCTTTCCAAATCTGTCATAGCTGCCTAGTCCCAAGCAACATCTTTACGTAATACTCGCATTAAATAGCGCAGATCTGATCTGACTCCTCTTCCTAGAAACTTACGCGGCAAGCCTTGGGTGAGGCCGTGGCAGAGCCGTCATTTGTTGGCTCAGTGTGTTAAAGATTTAATCTGTCCATACCTCTGCTTGATGATGGCCAGAAAGACGAATAATATCATGACCTGTTATTTAAGATAAAAGGGCGAAAAGACATTAATTAGAAGATAGGACCTATATAGAAATGGGTGATTAGCCCAGAGTAGGTATGGACATTGTGAATGTAGCCGAGAGAATCCTCATATTAAAGATGAGTCCAGTGCGCGATGGATATATACACGTGTCCTATCCCTGTCCACAATAACCAAACCCCACACTGCCACAAACACCATCAATCTCTACTATCCAACGCAGCCCTGGGTATAAATATGAGTTACTATTATAGGGTTTGTTTGTACGGGTCGGTATCAAGTTAGAAATTTTAGCACAGTCTCCTCCTCTTCCTCGGGTCGCGGGCCAAGATAAATTTATTCGTGCCTACGAAATGTTCGTTCTCGCGAAGCTGTCAATCTGAGTTCACTGATAACATCTCATACTCGCGCGGCGCGGCTCGCGGGGACATAGGAAACGTGAGCTTGCTTCAGCGGGCATAGTGATCAATTTCGGTATGAAGATGCCATAGAGCCAAGTAAGTTTTGATTTAATGAGCTCCATACCCGTTTGAAGGTGCGGGTGGATCGCGAGTAGAGACCTTTTTTTGCGTCAGATTTTAATTGCGTATGCAGCTATCTAGCTATGACACAATTCAAAGAAAAGTACAGATTAGATGATTCAACGCAATGGAAGAACATTCATGCCTCGGATTTCATTTGCAAGTACCACTGTGAAGTTATGGTGGCTTTTTCTTCACTCCAAATCAACCCTCATGCGTGAATACCCACCCAGGGGAACGTCTCAAAACCCCTGGGTTATACAGACATGCCTCCATCATCTTTCAAGTTTTCTCCTCGTGAAATGTAATCTGAGGCGTCTCCTTCCCAAGTGGAGTAGGTGCCCAGCCTGCTCAGACTTTACCGGAGAACAACCAGTACACTAGGGATGTATGCTATGGCCTTGAGCCACACGCGATGCCCTAGCCTCAACTACCTCGTTGCCTCATATCATAACACCAACTCGTTCGATATTGCGAAATTTGACTGGACTTGGCTCTGGGAGGATATTTCACTTCCAGGTTCGCAGAGGACACCGCGTACAGGTGTTCAGTCTTGCCCTCCGAGTATAGAGACCGTGAGTAGTGTAGTTCAAGTCTCTCTCCCCACTCGTTTTCCTATGCTTTCCCTGGATTTTAAATTCAACCAGATTCTTTCAAAGACGAACTCCTGAAACACATTGCATAGCGAACACTCTATAAAACCTGCGTTTGTTACAATAGCTCAAGGATTTATCAGAGGTGATGCCTTGTAGAATTAATGCCGAAATTCCGCTTAAAAAGTTGTGGCGATAGCTTAGGAAGTTTTCAATTCCTATATTAAACGCTGTAATGTGTAGATGTGCATAAAATTATCAGCTAGATGACGGTATTGCAATAATTACATGGCTAGAGTCGAGCAGTCTCGTTAGTTTGATGATTTTGTGTCATTCAGCCTCTTAGATTGGATAATAATAGTGTCCAGCCCTTCGATTTTAGATGAAGCATAACCCATTCTATCGCGATTGTGAAGGAGAGATATCATACACAGACTAGTTATGTGGTGTGATGCACTTGACGCTATTGTGAAGAAGAAGATCGTATATGATCAATCCATAGACTCTATGCCCTCGCTATCTAAACTAAGACCCATATCTTGTTAGGTTGGTTCATTTAGATTGTTATAGTATTTGAGTCCGAGACCATCTAGCACGTTGGGCTCCTCTCTGACCCAAGCCACATCTTGTATGGTGCTCCTTTCCTATTTTTTCTACAAAAAGGATATCTGATTTATCCCCCATAATGATAGCCATTTATCAGATTATTAACCTGTAGAGATCAGCCGCATTTTCCACGGGACCCTTTACTGCAAAATACGTTTGTAACGGAAACTGCGTACGCAAAAAAACTCAAATAACCTGTATTCCTAGTCATGCGCGGTGCGCTTATCCATCTACATCGCTTGTTTGTAACAGGAGAGGCCATATTGATCTAATTTACCATCGTCGTATTGGGTGCTGGGTGTGCCCCGGAAGCTCATTGAATGGCTTCTTCTCCATGACCAAGAGTGGGTGATTAGTAGTTATTTGACACTACCATCTGATCTGATCATGGTTAGTTTCGTGAAAATAGTGCTGGGAGGTTGTGTTGAGAGATGTAGACAATTAGGGTTTGCGAATGCGATCGGGAATGCTTATCGAGGTGAGGACTTTGTTACTCAATCTCAACTCTCCAGACTCTACAGTGAGAGCTGGAGGTTCGTAGGGGATGCAACTGACAAGTGTCGAGGATAGTCCTCCCAGCTGACGGGTACTTGCTACCAAATCTCAATGTTTTATTTCATGTTGAACTGTATGTCATCCACCCGAGACTCTAATACTGGAACTTTTCATCACCTTTTGGATTATTCTTTATCATTAATGTCCTTCGTCAGACAGTGACCATGGAGAATGTGTAGGTTCTATTTACTTGTAGGCCAAGAATACATATGCATTACGCAGTATACCATCTCCTATACCGCTTTTACAGCTTCTTTTCATGAGAAGAATTATTGGCGAGACCCTCAGGGTCAATTGGAAAATATTGAAAATTAGTGGATATAAAACCGAGTAATTGTTGAATAGCCTTTAAACCGCTTATAGTAGCCCTTCATAGTCAAGGACTCAGCAGGGTCCTAAATTAAATTCTAACTCATGACCAGCTCTCTACACAATCCTCTATCCGTTAATATGCTTGATGCTGGCCTTTTGTTGTGCTGGTGATGGCTAGGATTACGATGCACAAGGGTTATTATCACTGAGGGTGAAGGAAGAACTTTCCAGGTGGCTCCATGATGAGTAGAGGAACAATGGGGCACTGTATAGAAAGTGTTTCTAGATTGTACTGCCAGATGGAGGAGACTAGAATATTCCGTGGTACTATTTTGGGTAAATAAGGCGAGAGTCTGGCTACCTCAGATGTGTATATAATTAGCGCTTTATATCTTCTAGACCCTCATAGTTCTGAATCTCAAACATATCAGCAGTTCATATTGATTCAATGATAATCACCCGTAAACCTTCTGCCAATTAACCTCCGTAAGCTCTTACCTTTACAACACCTTTGCCCTTCAATAACTCTCCTCACGAGCGGGCCAAACGAAAGCTGTCTGCAGGTGTATGGCAACTGGGAAAATTAGAAAAAGCATCGAATGCGGGGCTTCACTAATTTCGATATCAGGACCAAGTGCAAAAACATAGCTACTTTTATAAAACATTTCTAAAGACCGAACAGCCAGCTAGCCATCATATGTATATGTATCAAAGGATATCTTTAGGTTTCTCCTTTCCATTTTTGAATCTTTCTATTATTCGTGCATTCAGTTATGTCGGAGGTTTTGTAGAAATGTCAGAGAAGTCTGGGAAGATATTGTGAGCTTTACAGTAGTTTAGCCTAACTTTTGTATGAAGTTTTGGGTAGTGGAGAATTTCGTTTAATTTTTAACAAAGTATTACCTCCTAACTACTTCTGGACTTACGCTTACCTCTTCAGACCCTATTTTACGAGCTAGACAATCGTGAGGGACGTCGCTCATCAAATTGAGTCTTAGTCCCTCTAGATCGCAATTTTGTTTATAAATAGATCATTAGCATTCGCACATGTGATGGTAAATCAATTGTTATGGGAGACGGAACAGATCTTTTCCGGTATTCTTCCGAATGTTACGTTAGACGCCATTGATTGGGGTCGATAACCTGAAATACATGATATCTGGACCTAAATTAAATCTTCCTTTTTGCAAGGATTTGAACTACGTCACTTCCAGGAAAGACACTTGGCAGCTATGAAAGTGTTGTTTTTTGTAACGGAAATAACGCTAATACTTTCGTCCAAACTAGACCTTACAGCATTGCGTGAGATATTAACGGCAGTAGTCTAGCGCCAGTAAGCGTAACCGAAATTCTATGTGAAATCTCACATTTCTCTCCACTACAGCCTAGACGACTCGATTTGGACCAGAATTTGATTCAAACGTGGTATATCACCAATCCCAAAAGTATATACAAAAGGAAACGACAGATACAGTAATTCCATCGACTACGTAATACCATCATGGCTTCGAGTAGAGAGGGTAATGAATTACCACTGTCAATGCTGTCGCGCCTAGGCGGTTTAAGTAGGTCAGAAAAGCAGCCGATAACACTGAGCGATTCTCTGAGAGCTGCCTTGGCAAAGAAAATACAGTATTCCAACAAGCCAGCCTCATCGTTTAATCGAATCCTTGACGGGGATGGCCGAGCACAACCTTCAAAAGAGGAAGAAAATTACAAGACCAACGATCTCCACCCTTACACTCGTCCGCTCACCCTCGCAGATGCAGAATCATGTGTGATTCTAGAGAATGCGGCCTATCCTGATCCGCAAGATCGGGCTTCTCGGGAAAAGGTAAGCTCAATTTTATCGATCAGTGTTTTATGATTTTCCATCTAAATCCTACGGGAGAGTCAACCAATACTATAATTGCGCATAAAGACCAAAACATGTTGGATGTTCTAGAACTCCCACGTGATCTCATATTCCACTTCTTCCTGACCCTATCATCACAGGTTTTATACCAACTTAGCAAGTGCGGTGAGCTCTGTATGGGACTCTTCTGTACTCTGCTACCATTCTCGGACATGAAACCCGAAACACTTGCCACCAGCAAACTGGTTGAGACAAATCGACCAAACGGAGCTGTCAGTGTATTACTTGGTCACATAACCGCCGTCATGACCGACAATCTCACCACCATTGAAAATTCATTCGACTTTCCGGGAGATTGGGCCTCCAAAAGTTCTGAGCCTTCAATATTTGGTCATCGAGAGGCAGGTCGCACCATTGTACTGCAATCAGTCGCAGTTTTACCTGAATTTCGAGGACGAGGAATCGGAAAGATTCTTGTTACCGCCTACAAACAGCAGATGAACTCAGCGGGCATAGCAGATGATTTGGCTGTACTTTGTCATGAAGTAAACTTCCCGCTTCTGTTGTAGCGGTCATTGTAGACTGACCTCAGTGTAGAATACAGTAGCCTGGTTTGAAAAATTTGGCTTCATCAACCAAGGCCTGTCAAATTCACAGCACGGAAGCGGCGGTTGGTATAAAATGGTGAGGATCGACTATCTCAGGCTGAAACTAATGTCTTTCAAATGTGAGCTAACTTCTATAGACTGTACCGCTGGCTCCAGAAGTAGATCCTACTAGTGAGTACTGAAATAAAGAATTGTTGAACTCGACGTTTTTCAAATCTTAGAGTCTCACAATGGCCTATTCTGCTGAATAAATACACGGACAATAGCCGATCACGCCCTAATTTGGTCTAAATTAAAAGAAGATTGTCCTAAAATGATGAAAACTCGAAGTATTGACAAAAATATTATGATGCATGAAATATATTCAAATATCTAGCATAAATATGCTTAGCTTTCTTAGAAATGCTCTGATATCTCAGCCTAGCAGCTAACTTTAAAAAAGTGAATTGCTAACAATCTGACGGTGATATTTTTTATCATTTCATGACCCAAAGCCTGTCTAGTTTGGTCGGTATTTCTTTTGGTGAGAACGGGACCAGAAAAAAGGAAATACTGAACCAGTTATATTTATAGGTAAAGAGGAAGCTGTAATCAACTATAGAAACTGAAAGAGGTCTTGATGCTAAGTAAAGTCTGTGACCTAAGTTGGTGGTTAAATATCACTTGGTCCATGTACTCGAGGGATCACTAAAGTAGGAGATTTTGACATCGTAGGTTCGATTTGGTTGCTCTCAAGCACACTCATGAAAAAGATTGTTAAGATCCTGAGATGACACCTGACCATATTGTTCGTAGAGACTACCTCGCATATGTGTTCGGTGTTTGAAAATTATGAGGTCTCCTGTTTTGTAAGAGGATTCTGTCTATTCATACGATATGCTGCAGTCTAACACATATTTTTAAAATCATAAATATAGTATCCGATCATCTTGCTTGATCTATGCCCGGTGTCTCGTGTTATTTTGAAACGGATTTTTGACTCTTAAAATACAAATAATTTGTATTTTATTCAAACCTACACATAACTGGTATATATTTAATCTATACGCACATAAATCCTCTGATTTTATTTTAATTGTGCTACATGAGCTTAGTACCATTGTCATAGCTGTCTAGGGGTAGGGTTCCACCTACTCATGTAAGCTAAGCTAGCAGCCGAAAGGTTTAGTCATTATATATATATATATTTTTTTAAAACATTTAATGTGTATTCAACTATAAAGCTATGACACATGATCGGTGCTATGTATACATGAAGGATGACTCTTTTGACGTTAGAGACACTCATACTCTGGATTTCATTTGCAAATACCACTATGAGGTATGCTTGCTTACACAAACAGTCAACCCTCCTCCGTTAGTACCCACCAAAGGGAATTTCGAAACCTTTGGTTATCCAAGCATGCCTTCGTCATCCATGTACACTAGCACCGCGAGAAATGTGATTGTATTTTGCCGGATTCGAACCAGCGATCGACTGTCTCAAGTGGGATATGTGTCCAAGCTATCCAGACTCTACTTGGCAGACCGGCCAAGACGAAGTACCACCGCACCATCCAAACATGGCGATGTTTATAATGTCGCCTGCACTCTTGCAACCGAAACCTTGGCACGCACAAAGCTCAATTTGTAAAAACTCCTCGCCAAAATTCGAAATTTAACGCCCTTCGAGATTGTATCCATCCTTCGCATCATCTCGTGGACTAGTCCTGAATCCTCTCACGCCAATCCCAAACAACAGTCTCCCAGATTTATGCGCCACGCTTTGTGTCCTCCGTCGGGTATAAATATCGACGTGGGCGCGTATCTGGCGACCAGCTAAGTCCAGAGAAAATCGACGAGAGGTGTGATCGTTGGAATGAGGATGTACTAATTCGTGCTTGTGGACTTGATGTGGCTTAGGTAGGAATTTATCTCTTTGGGAGTGAAAGATTGATGTGGTGGAGTAGTTTGAATCATTGCCTCGTGCGCCAACTTGTTCGGTATTGCGAAATTTGACTGAACTTGGCTCTGGGAGAATATTTCACTCCCAGGTTCGTAGAGGACACCGCGTACAGGTGTTCAGTCTTGCCCTTCGGAAAATTTCCTTATGTATATAGAGACAAAACAACTCTGACTAGCAGCCGGTAAAGACGAATTCTTCACCTTCTAGTAGTGCCTCTGTAATCGCTCAGTATGCTCTGCATATCTGGGATAGCCAAGAAGAATCGCATCCGAATCGAAGTCGAAAGCAACCTCAAGCAAATCTCTATTTGACGAATTCTCGACAATGCCTCTCTTACAATTCTCATCTGGATCCTCAATCTCTCACTAACTACGCATCATCTCGCGTCGACGACCAATAAAGAAGTAGCTCCAATTGCATACAGGAGCTTGCCCCATTAATTTCCAGCCATCTCTCTCTACATACTTACGACGCTGTTTACACCCGCAAGAACGAAATCAAGTCGACAAATACAAAACATGGGTCTTGGCTTATGGGGGACTATGGCTCTAATAGGGTTATCCATCTTGAGGAAGGACAGGCGCCTGAGATGTGAAGCGAGAGGGTGAACTATTATGATTGGTATGTGATTTGGGAATGTACGCTTGCGCTGGAACAGCTAAGATAGCATGTTGAGAGATATCTTCATTGGTGTGCAGAAGTGAAGTGACTATGATAATTGTAATGTTGCGGATAGGGAGAAGCTCGTCCCTTATCCCCTAGCTTGTTCCCTTGTAGATCAATCACGTTACCAATATGCAGCTCACCAAAGTGTGAAACCAACTGAGCAGCCATGCCATTTATCCTACATCAACAACCCATCTCTCATACTGCACACATCACTACTTGTAATGTCGTTATGTAGAGACTGGATCTCCTCCATGCGCCTTAATGCCATAATTCCATGCTTCCATAATAACTATCAATGCACCAGCTACGAGATCTACCATACTAAATAGCTGAGCATGACAGGAACAGGTCTCTGAAGACCATGCTTGAACTTACATTTTCTAGGAGTTTTCAACTTTGGATTTTTTGTGCGCGCCAAGACCGAGATTTCCGCTAGTTAGCTAGGAAGACTTCTTTTGCTGATGAGTCAACGGCACTCCCCGGCGCTCTGGACGGCACAAAAGAAGTTGGGCTAAGCTACTATACAGCAATCACGCTCTGTCAAGACTTTTCTGACATTTCAGCCCGACCTTCGGGAAGGAGTTGGAAGGAGGCTAGAAAGGTAGAGGGTGAGTTCCTCGAGGTACACACAAGTTTGTAGCGCCCAACTGGCCAGCTTCTTCGAACGCTTCAGAAGGGGCACTATGTTTTCGGATCTAGTCCTAATGTCGGTGTTAGGAGAGCTCCGCACCCAGTGGTTTTTGCGACTTTTCCCGGCTGCCATACACCCGCAAATGGCCATCGTTTCGTTGGCTGGAGAGGGGAGATAATGAAGGGCAAAGGGCTCCTCTAAGTGTATGATCTGATATGGACCTTTGAGGGGTGGTACTGTTTGAGGGGAGCTGTATGGGAGGCATAGGAGGGGATATACTACTGGTATAAGTATCCTTGGCCTGTAGGCAGAGAAGACTTGCATTTCCAACATAGTTATAGACTCAGACAGGACAATAAAATGAAACCCCCCCCCCCCTGACTAGTACAATAACAATACAGTCAGACCCCCATTAAGACGATATAGCCGTTTATACGATTTTTTTTCCCGAACGGACTTCGTTCGCATACATTTACCGACTACTCGATTACCTTTCTTCAGCCTCTGAATATCTTCTTAACTAGGTTTTTTGTTAGATTGGTGCCACTAATGTCGCCGAAAAAAAGAATTCTCTGCAGAGGAAGGATTTGCTCTGCGACGATGGGCGCACTGCCAGGCCTCAAAACCAACACAAAAATAGTGCACTTAGTGATTCTTCGCTGAGTACGGCCATCGATTAAGCCAGTCCACAGTCTCCGAGTCCTTGAGTAATACTTTTGCGAAACTCAATGAAGCTACAACTACTACTGGGCTACGACAGCGAGCTGGAAACTGACCTAACCTTGAGAGTAATAGAGCGATTAAAGATGGCAATTGGGAGCATAAAAGAGGCATCAAAGGTAAAAAGTAGCCTAGATAGCTGGATTAGATAATCATATCCTTTGCAGAGATATCCTCTATATGACGATATTTTTAATGGCCCCGATCACCAAGACATAGCAATTGCTTACACAGATGGGTAACTTTCAAAGACTAATATGAGCAGCATTGGTTTTGTCATTTATTTGCTTTACACTCGAGAGTTAAAAAGTTATTCCTTCAACCTTGGAAGCTCCATTGGAATCGCTGACACTGAAACCTACTGCATTTACAAAGCTATTCAGTTCCTTAAGAAGAAGCTGCCAAATGCAAGATACTAAATTTTCAGTGACAGCCAATCAAGCCTTCAGAGAATAAAGGGGAAGACAAATTATTTATCACACCAAATTCGAACCCTAACAAAAGACTGTAATCTAAGCATCACTTTTTGCCCAGCTCATATGGGAATTAAGGGAATTGAGCTTGCTGACTCCCTTGCAAGGGGAGCAGTAAAAAAGACAGCTTTCAGAAGTGACAAATTTATATCCCATTCTTTTCTGAAGATGAAAGCAAATGAATATATTTTAAATGTTTTGCATAACGACTTGCAAACAGAAGTTCTCAGAGAAGAGGAGGGTAGAAGGTCTAGAGGACTTGGCAAGTTCTACAGATTTCAAGCCCAGATGCATAAACCAACTTTCTCCTTACCACCATTTTACTTTTAAAACCACAGCAGGATGGTTGAATCAGCATTTTTCCAGGCAAGAACTGGGATTGGAAATACTAGAGCTTACCTAAGTGTAATTGGGAAAGTTAAAGATCAAAGCTGCAATTTTTGCTAGGCTAAAAAGCAGACCACAAACATTTCATTCTTCATTGTACCAGATTGTGCGAGCAGAGGGAATTGGCATTTGTTAACATAAAGCCTCTTTCATTACAAATTTTATTAAGAAGCAAAAGGGAGAAGTAAGTGTTGTAGTTAAGGGAGTAATATGACTGCATTACAAAAACTGTTCACATTAGAATAATGTTTACATGCGCCATGGGATATGACTGACCTAGATCATCACTCATTGGTATGACATAGTATTTCCCAATAGATTCCTAACGGTATCTATTGGCGCTTTGAATTTTGGTGT